AAGATCTTTCTTAGGAGGTGTCTAGGAAGATGACTTATGTTTTGTATTATTACCCTCTAAGGGATTTGCGAGCTTTAACTTAATTTTCCCATTGTGCTTAAAAACATAGGTATTGTCCCAAACATAGGTATTTTCCCTCCCATAGTTTGTCACATCTAGAGCAAAAAGCCAAGGGTGACTTAAAAATACATGGGCAACATTCATAGGTAAAACATCGCACCATATCCAATCTGAATAGTCACCCGTCTAAATAGGGACTAAGCACCTTGGTGAGACTGGTAAAGAGGTCTTGTTAACCCACACAACTTTACAAGGTTGTGGGTGTGGCTCTAGCTTAAACTGCAGCTTGCGACTGAGCTACATCCGACTTGGAGATAACATTTAGTGAATTTCCCTTGTCAGCAAGAAGAGAGACCTCCAAATGTCCTTTCTGGTCAAAATGTAGGTCGCGAGAATTTTCCAGATGATCGGGTTAATATAGCCATGTCTAATTACTCCTTAGACGGTGATTAGGAGGATTACAATGAGCCTTTACAACCACATCCTAGGCACCATGTTATGCACCACAGGCCTCCCTCACAACATTACCACAATGCCTGGCATAGACATGTTCGAAAAGAGTCCAAAGATATCATTCAAAAAATTTACATAGATGTCAAGATAATGCCCAAAAATACATTATCCAAAATCTCATCAAAATCTATGTTTACGTCTACTGTAATGGAAGATAATCGGATTCCAATCAAAATGTAGTAATCTTACTATGAAAAAAGTGTTCAACAAATAGAGTATGATTGTAATGATTCTGATAATTAACCATGCTCGAGTATAGACATCACCTTTGGGTACAACATCATCAACATATACAATAAGTGTTGTCACCTTATTTAACAAATAAAGTATGATAAAAATGATTTTGATGATTAACCACACCTCAATATAGCTTGCATAAATCTCTTGAACCATGCTTTTAGAGACTGCTTCAATCCATACAACGAATTTTTTTCAGTCTACGCACCTTACTATATTATTAGAGGTAAGTTCAAAATTGGGTGGAACAGCCTATATACTTCCCCCTTAGAAACACATTTTTTACATTAAAGTTTGGAAGAGTTGAACCTCAATTTGTAGGCAAGGAAAACAGACAAGAATATAATTCATTTTTGCAGTCGGGGCAAATGTTTCCTGATAACTCATCCCATTAATCTTTATAAAACCATTCACCCCCAATCTACGCTTATGTCTGCCAAATGACAATCGAGCCATCAACCTTGTGTTTCACCATAAACACCCATCAACATTCAATGGGTTTTTTTTTTCCCACCAGGTAACTCAACTAATTTCCAAGTGTTTGTTCTTTTAAAGTGGTTCATCTCTTACACACATTGCTTTCATCTAGTTGGGATAAATAAGTACATCTTGTATATTATGAAGAACAAACACAAAGGACAACTACGATGCAAAAGTTCAGTAAAACAATGAGAGATGATGTAGAGATACAAAATTGAACATGGGATGTTAAGTGCAAACTCGAACACCTTCATGGAGAATAACTAGAACATCATACTCAATATAAAGAATAGGAATTGACACATGGTTACTCGAATCCATGCAGACCAGCTGGCAACACGATGGAATAAAAAGGTTTTTATCCTTTAATATTGTTGAATAGACTTGTAATCCATTTTTTCTTGTTGATGTTCCTTTACTTGTTGAGGTTCATAATTATTTTCTTGCTCTTGTTCCAATGGAAAGAGAGACATACATGATATAGATGGGTGAACAAACCTAAACTTTTCTTCACTCAGATTCTTCCTATGACTAGAAATCTCAAGGTAGAGATAGGCTACCATTTCAAAAAAGGTGACATCCACATTAACAAATCTATTACCCGAAACTGGATAAAATTGTTTATAACCTTTTTGCATAGGAGAATAACCAAGAAAGATGCATTTTTTTGCTTTAGGATCTAACTTACGTTGGAGCCGAAACACATACAAAGCAAACACACCAAAATACCAGAAAAGGAACTGAAAAGAGTCAATGAAAAAAAGATAAAACCTCAACTAGTAACCGAAAGTTTGAACTTGAAAGGGCATTTTAGGANCCGAAACACATACAAAGCAAACACACCAAAATACCAGAAAAGGAACTGAAAAGAGTCGATGAAAAAAAGATAAAACCTCAACTAGTAACCGAAAGTTTGAACTTGAAAGGGCATTTTAGGATAAGATATATCAAGATAAGTGTGGTCTCTACCCAATGTATAACCTTGGAACATTCATAAAAGAAATCAAAGCCCTTGCAACTTCTAATAGATGACAATTATTCCTTTCAGAAATTTTATTCTGCTAAAGTGTAACACTATTAAGTTGTTTGGTTGAACAATACCATGCTCAACAAAATAGATCGAAGTCCCTCATAAACATTCCCCATTATGAGAACAAACAAAAAAATGGTACTTCAATATGTCATGTACCATTTTTTTTTGGAAATAAGATAATACTTCAATTTTTTTCTTCTCGCAAGTAAACCTAGGTGGTACAAGAGAAATCTTCAATAAATATAACAAACCATTTGAAACACACAAGCTATGAAATACGGATACGAGTACGGCCAAGATACGTTTATAATAAAATATATTTAATATTTTCAACAAACTTAATATTTATATATTTTGGTCNTTCTCGCAAGTAAACCTAGGTGGTACAAGAGAAATCTTCAATAAATATAACAAACCATTTGAAACACACAAGCTATGAAATACGAATACGAGTACGGCCAAGATACGTTTATAATAAAATATATTTAATATTTTCAACCAACTTAATATTTATATATTTTGGTCGTTCTTTAACATATAATAAGGAAAATTAGTAATTCTTTTTAGTTTCAAGAAAATATATATCATGTCGCTATGGTATATTCACAAAATAAAGTAACTAATTAAAAGNATATAATAAGAAAAATTAGTAATTCTTTTTAGTTTCAAGAAAATATATATCATGTCGCTATGGTATATTCACAAAATAAAGTAACTAATTAAAAGAATCAAAGCTAATATTTATCTAGTATTTAGAAGTAATTTTTGCTAAGATTATAATATAATAGCTTTATTTTATGCTCTTTTGACATGTAATTATAGACAATACTTAAAAAACACTCATGTGCCTTTGAAATAATATGATTTTTTTGTTAATGTATTGCATGGTATGTGAATTTGAAAAGAGATGTTAAATGTTCAACTAAAAAATTATATATGTTTCTCGACTATAAAAGTAATTGTGAAGTATCCTAATATTTAATTATTATTAAATACGTAGAAAGTGTATCTGATGAGTATCGTATCCAATACGGGTACGCCAACNGACAATACTTAAAAAACACTCATGTGCCTTTGAAATAATATGATTTTTTTGTTAATGTATTGCATGGTATGTGAATTCGAAAAGAGATGTTAAATGTTCAACTAAAAAATTATATATGTTTCTTGACTATAAAAGTAATTGTGAAGTATCCTACTATTTAATTATTATTAAATACGTAGAAAGTGTATCCGATGAATATCGTATCCAATACGGGTACGCCAATTTCAATGAAATATCCGTGCTTCATAGCACACAAGCTAGCAATTCAAGAAGGTCCCCCAAACCTTAGTACGAAGAATTGCAACAGGTGAAGTACTTTTATTAAAACTAATAAAAAATGACAAATTGTCCTAGATTCAAAATGGAATGAATTTGAGAGAAATTCATTCTAAAAAATAAATAAGGAAATAATTTTTGCAACAAAAGAAATTTGCTCCTTCTTATATACTGAAACTCTATTTCCATTCCATGTGTGTAGATGTACTCGACAATCATGTAATGCGCTTTGATATCATGTTAAAAAATGGAAAGAAAAGAAAAAGAGGAATGGAGGGAAAAAGATAAAAGAAACTACTAAGACAAAGAACAAAGATCGTGTTCTCTCTCCGTGTCATTTATATTTATAGTTTTACATATCACATTGACAAAAAAAATCACCTTTTAGTACATTTACAAAGCTCTAAACACACAAGCAGAGCCATATTTTTCGTACAGTGGGGGCACCTTACAATTATTAATAGCTTAAAATCTTAGAGTTAGCATCAATTTTATAAAAGAAATTTGATAAATTCAATCTTTTTATAAGAAAATTGCCCATTAGAGGCGTATAGAGTATAGACAAGAGACGTAAAAAGAGACAACAAAAAAATCAAAATAAAATTCATCAATAAAGACTAACAAAAACACTTTTGTAACAAAAACAAAAATGCTCACCATGTCATTTCGTGCAACAAGGTTGTATATTACTATTATAGTTCTCACTTTCTTAATAGGAGGTTGTTTCAACATTGATCACTTCTNGTAAAAAGAGACAACAAAAAAATCAAAATAAAATTCATCAATAAAGACTAACAAAAAAACTTTTGTAACAAAAACAAAAATGCTCACCATATCATTTCGTGCAACAAGGTTGTATAGTACTATTATAGTTCTCACTTTCTTAATAGGAGGTTGTTTCAACATTGATCTCTTCTAAAAAAATACCAATAGCCAATTCAAAAGTTAAGTCCTTTAGTTGGACGAAAAATCAATATTTATCACCAAATATTGGCAAACAAATTAATAAGGACCATAAATAACAATAAAAATCAGAAAAAAATAACAGAAATAGTTTAGAAAAACAAAATCTAGCACATGTTTATTGATTAGATTAAGGAGCAAAATAATTTATCATAATATACGAGTGCCTGGGACTAAACTTGGACAACCAGCCTGACTTTGATGTTAATGTGGTGCCCCCTTAGCTTGAGCCCTTGGAACTCAAGCTCAAGCCACACATTCCAAACAATAAAGGAATTAGAGCAACAGATGATCATATTCATTAAAAATAATGGGGAAAAAACGAAAATGATTATGAAGGACTTAACAAAACCAAGAATGCATACATGAGCATTTACAGATCAAGCAACAATGTTAATCAGAGCTCCCCGGAAGCAATTTTGCTGAGCCAACTGTGCCAATACGTCGTACTGCTGCAGGAATGACTCGAGATGGCGACACAACCTCCGCAAAAGATAGGCTGTAGGTATCTGCTCCTAGACGACTTTGTAACCACCCGCTTCCCCCCAAAAACCCATCACGCATGATCCAGCAGTTCTTAAAGCCAAGGCTATTTAGTGCTCTAGCAACTAGTTTGGCTGAATCAGAGTACCTGAGATATTACAAACATGAATCTCTGAAAAAGTTCAAAACACGGTATATACAGGCCAGTTGAACTTTATTACGAATCTGAATGAAAATCTAGTATCCATAGCAGTGTGGGAAGTAACTCACGAGTCCATTATCACGAGGTTGGAACCTTTGTTAATTTTCTTGAGATATGATATCTTCAAAGCGACTAGTTCAGCTTCTACTTTCTTTACATTTCTGACAAGACCTTTTAGCTTGGTAGGCAATTCTTCCAAACTGGACCAGCAGAGAGAGTAATGAATTAGTATAGGTTATGCAGAACAAAATGACAAATGAACCTTTTTCAAGCGTATAGGATTCGCTATCAAGATTTCCTAAGGAGACTGTCTGCAAGTGCCGGGAAAAGATGCACCTCAAGCAGCTATCATTTCTCTTGTCCAAGGAATAACCAGATCAAAATTTCGTTTTAAAATGGTTAAAATGACCGAAACATTTCCGTTTTCAAGGAGACAAAATTAATCGAAATTACAATGTTTTGAGGTGTTTTGACATAATTCCATTAATGTTTTAAGATATTTTCAGCATATTTCAACCAATTTTTGAAAATAAATACTCAATTTTTTACTAAAACGAAATTTTGATCCTTGGGAACAACCTTGGTTTTCTCTTATATATTTTGACAGATATTCTTGAGGAGATTTTTCTTGTACTCTTTTCCAGTACTGGTAAAGAAACAAAGTTAGTGGAGATTATGAGTAGAAAGAAAATTAATATAGTATGTTTTACTAGAAGCTAAGTGGTTATAAGAGAAACAAAGGAAATAGAAAAAAAAGGTACAAAAAGATGGACATAAAAATGGTGTACGGATTTGTAGTAGCTAATAACTGGTACAAGAAAAAGAGAGTAATATTTGTTCATTAATATCAGAAAAATATGGTTAACGTAATGAGTGCCAACACAGTCCAAGTTGCATTGGGTGAACATAGAAACGATTTTCAGGTCAAATATGAGTTAATGCAAGAGATACTTGGAGGAGGGAAGATAATTATAGGTAGGGATTTTAGTAGTCCTGTAAATAACTACCAGGGAGGATATAAGAGGATTGACAGTGAACATGGATATAGTGACATAAACGATGGTGGAGACGCTATTTTCACAATGGTGTATAACCTTACAAAAGCAAAAACTTTTTATAAAGAGATAAACATGAAAAGCTTCTAAAAGTGATTCAAGGAAGAGTCAAAATAGATAAGTTTACCCTACATGAAATGTAAATTGATTAACATTTAAAGATTAGAAGATTATCCACGGACGATAAGAACAAAAATTTCATTTTGTTTCCACCAAAATGACTAAAATATTCCAGTTTCCAAGGAAACTAAAGCAATCAGTGGTTGAATATCGAAGTTTATATGTTGCGAGGTCTTTTGGGATGTTTTGGTTTGTTTTGAAACATTGCGAAAATAAATTTTCAATTTTTCCTTAATTTCCATCTTATTTTCAAAAAACTTTTGTTTTGAGCTTACCAAAACTATGTACCGAAACAAAATTTCGAAACTTGCCCATGAAAAGAGTTGAACGTCACAACACAGCCTATTAACATTAGTAGTATTTATTAAAGGATAAAATAAGCGAGAGATTAGAAACTCATAAACTAATGGTGGAATTTAAAAGGGGAGGATTTGAAACTTTTAAGGCTAAAATGTTAGAGAAGTAATAAGGAATTTGGAAGATGAACTAACATGAAATGGTACAAAACGGATGAATGCTTTAAAAGGGCATACAAAAGAAAGTTCTTCAAAAATTAAAGGGAAGAAGGTGCTTTCTAAGAAACTTGGTGGTTGAATGACAAGGTACAAACCGTAGTAAGAACCAAGATTGTCAAAACGAGTATCGAAAAGCGTATAATTTTTCAAAAATAGTGTATCGTAAGATACTTGTAGTTTTATAAGAGATATTAGAAAATACATATACCTATGAAAATAGGTCATAATAACATTTCATTGCATCAGAAATTTCTCACATAAAATAATTTAAAGAGAGTACAAGGAATAAAACAAAAAATTAACCTAAGTATTTAAGTTTCTAAAATAATTCATCAATATCAAAATTTAGAGAGTTTTAATTCTAGCAATCAAGCTATTTGCACTTGTGATGGAACAAATAACAAAAGAAGACTTCTATTTTTTTAAAACCTCTAAGTGAAACGGCGCCGTTTCATCACCTAGCATTTATAAATATTATTTCCATCTGAAAATGCATCATTTTTCTGGTTTAAAAAAAAAAAATTGATTTGTTTCACCCCGTATTGGATAACTAGTATGTATCGCCTCATATTGGTTGTATACCGCACAATACAGTGCAAAACCGATACGATTTAAGTGATACAAATCATTTTCTTCATTTATCAACACATCGTACAATAATAACAACCATAAGAACAATAAGGGAGAGCTTTCAAAATTGGCAGTGCAATAGAAATGACAAGAATGCTAAGAGACATAGGTATGCTAACAAAAAAGTTAAAAAGATAGGAAGAGACTTCAAATTTAAATTTAAACCTTATCATGATTTAGCAGCTAAATTAGAATCAAAAGATGGAGAAAAGATAATTTGGAAATGACACGAAACCCAATAAATGTGTTAGTAAAGAAGAGTAACATTATCAATTAGTGAAAACACAACGGAAAGGGAGACACAAAACTCGCATTGAACGATGAAGTGAAAAAAAAAATTGAATGTTCATAAATTTATTGAACCCATGCCATCGCCCTGGAGCATAATGATGAAAAAGTAGTCATGCAAACTCGGAACCCCTACTTGGTTTATTTATAACTACTGTATTTTTCTTTCTTGTCTAACTACTATTTTCATTTTGTTTTTCTTAATGGCCAAACGTACGGTATTCCATAAAGTGATACCAACAAGCATTAAAAAAAGCTTGGATTTGCATCCAACATGAATGACTGTCTTAAGTGGCTGTTAGATATTTAAGAGTAAGCAGTCTAACTGAATAACAACACATGAGAATGAGATCTTATACACTATACTACAAGAAAGAATATTAACTCAAATAGCGTAGTTTGATAGATTGGTAAGGAGCTAAACTAATATAAGATTGAGGAGAAACCTTACTTACGGGATTGCAATCATTTTCTTTTTGGCACTAGAGGGAAGGCGAGGAATACCAGCCTTGTCCTTGTCCTTTTCTGATCTAATATCAATCATAATGTAATTCCTAGTGGATATGAGATCAAGTGTTTGAGCAGGAGTGAGGTCACCTAGAGAGTAAATCACCAGACAAAAAAGGACCAAATCAACAAAATATTTTGAAAATTACATGGAAAACCCAATAAATATTAGACAACTTCATACATTAGCTTCTTGCCATCTAAATCCAGCATGCAACATTTGGCACGAATATCCAAAACCCAAACTGAAGCAATCATTGCAGTGTTTCATGGTGGCAAACAAGATTTATGTGATCCATGTGGTTTGACCCCNAAAAAAAAAAAATTGATTTGTTTCACCCCGTATTGGATAACTAGTATGTATCGCCTCATATTGGTTGTATACCGCACAATACAGTGCAAAACCGATACGATTTAAGTGATACAAATCATTTTCTTCATTTATCAACACATCGTACAATAATAACAACCATAAGAACAATAAGGGAGAGCTTTCAAAATTGGCAGTGCAATAGAAATGACAAGAATGCTAAGAGACATAGGTATGCTAACAAAAAAGTTAAAAAGATAGGAAGAGACTTCAAATTTAAATTTAAACCTTATCATGATTTAGCAGCTAAATTAGAATCAAAAGATGGAGAAAAGATAATTTGGAAATGACACGAAACCCAATAAATGTGTTAGTAAAGAAGAGTAACATTATCAATTAGTGAAAACACAACGGAAAGGGAGACACAAAACTCGCATTGAACGATGAAGTGAAAAAAAAAATTGAATGTTCATAAATTTATTGAACCCATGCCATCGCCCTGGAGCATAATGATGAAAAAGTAGTCATGCAAACTCGGAACCCCTACTTGGTTTATTTATAACTACTGTATTTTTCTTTCTTGTCTAACTACTATTTTCATTTTGTTTTTCTTAATGGCCAAACGTACGGTATTCCATAAAGTGATACCAACAAGCATTAAAAAAAGCTTGGATTTGCATCCAACATGAATGACTGTCTTAAGTGGCTGTTAGATATTTAAGAGTAAGCAGTCTAACTGAATAACAACACATGAGAATGAGATCTTATACACTATACTACAAGAAAGAATATTAACTCAAATAGCGTAGTTTGATAGATTGGTAAGGAGCTAAACTAATATAAGATTGAGGAGAAACCTTACTTACGGGATTGCAATCATTTTCTTTTTGGCACTAGAGGGAAGGCGAGGAATACCAGCCTTGTCCTTGTCCTTTTCTGATCTAATATCAATCATAATGTAATTCCTAGTGGATATGAGATCAAGTGTTTGAGCAGGAGTGAGGTCACCTAGAGAGTAAATCACCAGACAAAAAAGGACCAAATCAACAAAATATTTTGAAAATTACATGGAAAACCCAATAAATATTAGACAACTTCATACATTAGCTTCTCGCCATCTAAATCCAGCATGCAACATTTGGCACGAATATCCAAAACCCAAACTGAAGCAATCATTGCAGTGTTTCATGGTGGCAAACAAGATTTATGTGATCCATGTGTTTTGACCCCTGAATTTTTGTGTCCCCCAAAAAATTTGTTGGATCCTGGTAAATCTCCCTCCATTGAGGAACCAGAAGCAACACTCCCAGCCAGAATTGTCCAAATGAACTACCCCAATGTTTTATGGGGAGTGATCCAATTTCGGGAGTGGTTTCAAGTTGCCTGGTTATACATGCAGACCAGTTTTTTAGGTTTAAGGTTTCAGATATCGGGGAAGACCATTTTTCGAATTCTTGACTATCAATGACATTTCTTGGCAGTCTTCACGTTTGGTGCTTTGTACATATGTGTGTGCTATAAGCTTGGTCATGAGTGGAGATGCCCTCAACCAGAAAAAAACAACATGCTCATGCAACAATTGACTGGTTTAATGCTCATACCAATATGGTAGCACATTTGAACATTTTCTTAACAATTGAAAAAGCTCTCGATTTATTCGGTATTAAGGAGGGCTTTGCCTTCTTAGAGAGATCTCGTTCGTAGGGCTATGGTCCGGCCAGGATTTGCCATGCAGTCTAGAGATCTAGTTGATGCTTGGAAACCTACTTTGGAAGATACTGGTCCACAAGCTCAAATGTCAATATTTAAAAGAGTCTTAGGATGAGTATTGCTAATTTTACCTTTGTAGCCACGAAGGCTAAAAGAGATTGCAGAGAAGAGAGGAGGAAGCAGGAGATATGCAAGGAATAATGCACCACTAGCCCCTACAATCGTAATGGGGTCTGATGATGAGATAGCTTCCACTGTTGATGAGGCTATGGGCTTGGCCTCTTCAATCACTTTGGTGGTCTGTTGTGCCACCTCAGCAAATGTCTGCACCCAAAAGGATCATTTATTTTCTGGGTGAAGATGTAAATTAATAAGTTTGAAACAAGAGAACAGAGTGCTCTAGGTCAACCTTTAAATTGGAATTTTGCAAAAGTGAAATGGGGGTTGATAACTGTGATTGAAGTACAAGTTATATGTGGCTATTTGGACACTTCCTGACGTCAGAATCAATTCATCAAACTTTTACGTGATATTTGAAGCTGCATGCTAGTTGCAAAAGATAGAGGTACACTAAACAATCAACTATCGTAAATCAAATCATATAATGTCTTCTTTTTAAACATTTATTAGAAAAGGTAAATAAACTTGTTATTATGAATAATAACTAAACACATCTAACCTTTTCCAAAATCACATTATTATCATCTCAGATTGCACAAGAACTGTAACACCCCAATTCCCCTAGGCATGTTACTTAATCGCTCTGATACCAACTTGTGACAACCCAGTTCCCCGAACATGTTACTTAATAGCTCTGACACCAACTTGTAACAACACTGGTTCCCCTAGACATGTTACTTAATAGCTCTAATACCAACTTGTATCGCTGCGAATCCCCCAAGCACGTCACTTTTAATGCCCTGCCTCCCACGAGCACTTTACTGATGTTTCGAGTACCAACTTGCAGCTTTTCAAATGATAACTATCATATTAATCAAAAGATATAAACTTACGGATTACAATCTATGACAAAGCAGAAGTAAAAACTTTAACAAGGTCAACCTCACTTGGAGGGTTTCACAAAACGTTATATAGTTACAATAGAAACAGTGTAGTGCCTAGCAATTCTAAGCAAAGAGAATAGGCTCAGTTCGGTTCAATCTGATCCTTATCCAACTGCTCAAAGTATTTAAACCCCCTAATAGTTGAGTCATGCTTTGCATGGCTGGGAGAAGTCTTGTTAAGACACCTCCACCTTGATAGGTGGAAAATAACCATTGAGGGCATTTTTGTAATTTTCATATTTTATTTTTCTATTTTTTTATTCCTCCAACTTATTATTTAACTTAAAAGTATCATTTCTCTAAAAACCAAAATTTCATCTCATTCTAATATCAATACAAATTTTCATTTATTGGACAATTTTACCCCTAGCACATATCTACACTATTTCTCATCCATCACTTCACCACACCTTTATAAACACTTCACATAACATATATTCACCCTTACTATGTTGAATTTCTTTCATTCTCTCCATCAAACTGATAACTTTATTGAACGCTTTTGTCCTTAACCCGGTTCAGCGTAATTCTAAACCCAGTGCACCACCCAAGCTCATCAAACCCATCTTACTTCACAATCAAACCCGCATTTTGTATTAACAAGTTCGGGTATTACAACCTACCCTCCTTAAAGAAGTTTCTTCCTAAAACTTTCGTATTTTACACTTATTCACTATACCTGCCAACATCGTTGATCAAGAGCAAAAACTATATTTTTTGGTACACACTATTTATTCTTGTCGGCATTATCACGTACACGCATCCCTTTCTTAAATTTCCTTGATCCCCGCTCGCCCAATGATGAGCTAAAGGTTGTCCCGGTCTCGGTGCCTATTCGAACCTTTCACCTACCTGAAACATTCACCAATAATATTCCTCGTTAAAGATCTCTCTCTCTCCTTTATTTTGAGGGAATTCCTAAGGTGCCACCACACTCAAATGGTGAGATAACCCAATCTGCCAATTAGTCTTTCCTTTTTGTAACTACGTTGACCTCACAGTCACCTCATTGAAAAATACAGAAATAGGTCAGCCACTTATGTGTAGCAGAACTGTCACCTGCACTATTCATCGTTATAATATTACTCCCGTTTCTTCGCCGTCGATCATGCATTCTTTTTCTCTCCACTAGGCTATAATCTCTCCTTTCTTGTTCAAGCCTAAAATATTTCTTTTCTTATATCTTCACATATTTTTCTTTTAGGGTACAGGATATCAAAGTCTTTCCTGCTTTAAATTATCCTGAAATTTCTTTTTTCCTTATACCTCGAATCCGTTGCAAGTTTTGACCAAGAACTTAATTCCCCTTCCATCCCATAATTCAACTGCTCACTCTGGCCCACAAGTCAATGTCTTAAGCATTAGCCTAAAACAATCCATAAGATCATATCTCCAAGCTCTAATACCATTTTGCAATGCCCTTAACCCCACTCCCTAGGATACACTGCGAGTCTGCGAGAACTTAATCACATTGGGTACTCCCAAATACAGAGCACTACAATCCTAAGTATCTTAGAAATAATGCCTTCCAATCTTAAATAATTCAACAAATAAGGTCAATCCATGTCATCCGATCTTTCTTGAGAAATCATAACAATAACTAGATACTATCCATCTCTAATTCCTCAATTGATTCGATTGTTTTTAACCTTTATTCTGAAAACTGCTTACATAGAAGAGGGTAAATCGAAGGTGAGCTTAGGAGCCCGGTAAACAAAATATACAGCAGTATAAGAAATTAGAGGCAGAGAAGTTGCCAACCGATCTCATTACCAGGGAGTAAAAAATAATAGTTCACAAATACATTTCAAAAATCATAAGGAACTTAACATTCCAATCTTTTACAGTACCCATGCCTTCATGCTCAGTCCATCTCGATAATGTACCAAGCACCACTTAGTGCATTTCACTATCACACAGACCCACAAGACCACAAGTACATCTCACAGAACAAACCATGCTACCCGAGTGCCCTTAACATATGTTGATAGGCTCCAAAACAATTAGCCAATCAAAAAAAAAAAGATTTTATATAACACATTCAACGAAATATCAAACGAAAATCCATTTGAGTTTCTGAACAGCAACACTACAACAATCATAACATAGTTAAACAATAGGAATGAAACACATTCCTCGCAAAGAGATTTAGAAAGACGAAAGTATATATTGAGAAGTAATCCACCTGTATGATCCTCAATCACAGCCAAACCTATCAAATTTCATCAAAATTGAAATTTAATGCATTATTTGATTTCCTGGTCAATATAAGGTTTTTTTTGTTGTTGTTTGGTTTTCCGCTCGTAGTTATTCATTTTTCCATTCTTTGTTTCTTTTCTTACAAACTGAATTCCTAAGCTGCCTCCACACTCACATGGTTAGATAACCCAAGCTTCCAAATAGTCTTGTTTAACATAACTAGTGAACCACATTGATCTCACAGTCACCTCATTGAAAATCATAGGAATAAGTCTGCCCCTTCTTTGGCTCTATATATCTATATCTATACCAAAGTTGTTAGTATCGTACGATACGCGATACGTATCGTACGATACGTTACGATACAGCCCTAAAACGATACGGATCGTAGTTATGTATCGTTTTTGCGTTGTATCGTCCGATACACGATACGTTTTTACGATACGATACGTATCGGTACGATACGCACGATACGTGCAATTTTTTTTTTTTTTTTTTTTTTTTTTTTTTTTTAAAAACGACGTCGTTTTGTGCTCTGATTTTTTTTTAAAAAAAACGACAAGTGAAGACTTGTTGGCATCCGATCACAATGATGATGATGATGATGCATTTTCAATTGAAATTGAAGATTGAGTTCAAAATGGATGTTAGAAATTTGGATTAGAAGTCTCTTTGGTGTTTAAAGTTTGAATTAGTGAACTATGGTTGTGAACTTTGCATTATAATAGTAGTGGATTATGTTGATAACTTGAATAGTTGGTGGAATATTAATGAAATGCTATATTTTTTATGAGTGTATGACTTTTTTTCAAAGGTATATATATTTTTTTATTATTTATTTAAAATTGCATCGTATCTTACGATACACGATACAATACACGATACGATACAATATTTGTATCTTACGATACGCCTTCCGATACACGATTTGATAACTTTGATCTATACTACTATAAAACGTCAAAAAAGGTGAAAAACTTTTGATTGACAATAATAACCATACTAAAATAAGTAATACCAATCTATCCTTTTAGAGTTAGAATGGCAACATTAATACTATATTTATTGTAATTGTGACTTTTGTGTGGATTGTTGATTGTTTGTATGCTATTCTATATCTACAAGGTTTGAAAAAAAAAATTGTGTGGATTGTTGACTATTAGTATGCTATTCTATAGCTACACTGTTTTAAATTTTTTTGTCAATACATTTCTTCATCCGATAATCGATAAATATTTCTTACACAAAACCAATCTTGAGAAATAAGTATAGCAACCATTTCATATTCCATGAAATGACTTGTTCATAGACATTGAATACATAAATATTCAGTCTACAATAAATATATCAGTTATAAATTATTAAGGAGTTAAAAGTCGACCCATTAGGCCTTCCCCATTCACACCTGTTTCACATGCTACTGATACACGTGAAAACTCATGCACCAATTTAACGTTTAGACGCTATAAATTCTTGGCTAATTCCAAATGTGCAGTGCATACATCCCCCTTACGTACCGACAAAACAAACCAACCCATCTCTCTCCAATAAGAAAATCTTTTCATTTGGTCTTCTGCTTTGCTTTCTTGGAGAGGTATGCAATTACCTTATTTATTGCCTCAATTCAAATTAATTGTTTGTGTATTGTGGTTCTGACTATGTGAATGTATCACTAATCTCAGTTTGCTAGGTTGATCTGGAATTTTATTCCTCACATTTTCTTCTTCGTGGTTAGAGTTTCATTTGTTTGACAGTTGAAGTCATTGAATGACATCTATTAATTTGTTTGCTATATTTTCTGAATTTTCTTGTACATATGGTTTTTATTAGTTTTGTATTTATATCGAGGTTGATTATGCCTTCATTAGTTGATCTAACGTTGAAAATAGATTTTTTTTTTTTTTAATTCCAAATTAAGATTTTGGCTTTATAGTAAAATTCATTCAAAGTGTTGTGTGTATAGTATCCTTTATAATCAAATCGTATCAAGAATGATTACAAAGGTGCAAATGTTGAATAATGAGAACATAATATTACGTATTATAAATATCATAAACATTCATCTTAGTTGTCGCTTAATTCCTTTATTTTAGTTGAGGTTTGTATTTTATAGAGATTTTGTGTGTTTGTAGTTGAATTGGTGTAAAAACGTGGGATTTTGTGTGTTTACAGTTAAATTGGTGTAAAAACATGGATGGGCACGAGTTTCAATGGCATGGAAGACTTGGGGTATGAGGTAAAAGGTCCAAGAATGCAGCCAAGGCTATTGCAATCAAAATTGAGGAAAAGACCACTTGTATCAATAGGTCTTGTACTTGTACAACTGAAGCCAGAAAGAGGTTCTACTAGTAGGTCATCACTCCTAATAGTAACTGCAATTCAGAGAGTTATCCTAGCGATAGGTGAGTATTGTCTTATCGGTAGGTTGGAGATAGAAGAGCGTCCTACTAGTAGAAGAGCAGAACAAGTAGTAGGAGGAAAACACTGAACAGTCCCACCAGTAGGTCGTTTTTTGCTTTTTTTTCCGGTAGGTTCCTATAAATCTACTTCGATGACAGATTTGGAAAGGCAATGTCCTGGGTTATTTTAAAGGCCGTGATTGGTGGATGAAAGAGAGAAACATCAGCACAAGGCCTTCTATAAATACCCAAGTCTAGCTAAGAGAAAAGGGATCGATCATTAGAGTTCAATTCACTGTTCTTCTTCTTCGCTCTCCTAGGGTTCTTAGTCTTTCTTTCTTCTTTTTTGTCTTTCTTCATTGTTTTACTTTACAAGCTTTACTTAAATTCAAGCCATTAATTCTTGAAATTTCAATTCTTGTCTTTTTGCTTTAATTTACAATGATATTTTCTTCAATTGCTTTCAATTTACTGTATGCCATGCGCGAGTAGTCATTCACTGGATTGATTGGATAAAGTAATCTCATCCATGAATTGGGGATTTTGACTCGAATGACTGATCTCCTATCGAGTTATTTGGGTCAATTGAATAGACTAATTGGGAAGATATTCAATTGTATATCTACTAGCTTACCCGTCGACAATTAAGACTTGACACGGGTAATTTTTATAATCACTGCAATTTAATTAATTCTGCTAATCGATTCAATTGATTCGAGTACACATTTGTTATTTATTAAATTGGGTGTTTAACAAATATCTACCGCTTGGGAGAAGTTTGACCGCAATTTCGAGTGAGTTATAGAATTTGAATCAAAATACCTATTCACGGTGAGGTGATATCTACCGATCAATCGATTCTTTCATTTAAGTGTTATTTCTTTAATTAATTAAGTTTTTCATCTTTCAAATACTCTCGAAATTTCGAACTTTTATTTCTTTTTGTTTCATCACCCTTGGAACCAAAAATCTTCCCCAATGAGACGACCTCAGTAATCAACCGAGTTACAAACGATACTTGTTCATGTGCTTGGGAATTCCTATTAATTAAATACAACTCTAAGGAGAAAACATTGAACAATCTCATAAGTGGCTGAAACCCAACCTATGTTTGGAAATTGAAGATTTCCGAAGTTATTTGTTGTACCATCAATTTGTATATGTTTGTAACAGATTATGAATCATTGGTTGTCACTACAATACCGTGTTACACCTGTATAGGAATGGTTTTAAATTCTCGATTACTTGGACTATTAGAGTACTTTCATTAGGCTCTTTGCTCATTATATTTCTATGGTTTAGAGAGTTCAACATTCTATTAAATATTTTAAATCATGTTAATTCTACATTTTTAAAGAATATAACTACTAAAACCATACTAAAAAATAGTTTACGTACAACGCACATGTACATCAACTAGTCTTAAAGAAATGTACATCCTCTCTTTATGCTATAATCTCTCTTTTCCTATTCAAGCCTAAAATTTTTCCTTTCTTATTCCTCTGAATGTTTTTTTGTTTGGTTACGAGATATAATAGGTACAACACATCCGTCAAACAAAATCAATCCAAACAATTATGATCAAAAGAAAGATTAAAAAAACAGTTTATTTCCATCATATGCTCATGTCCACTATCTTTATCTAATGTATGACTACTATTGTTATTCTAAATTTTCTAGGCCAGTTTAGTCATATTTTTTTATGTTTGGTTAAGTAAATGGTTATCAAAATCCCTATTTGAATCATAGGATCTTACAATCCTACGCTCCAGTACTGGAAAATCATCCGAGTTTCTTGTAAAGTCTCTAATTCATAGGATCTTAATGGCTCTTAATCTCGATCCTATAGTGTCTTATGACCCCAATCCAAATTACAATTTTATCAATCCAAGATATTGATTTTGTTTGTGAGGCACATTTAGTTATTAAAAGGACTCAATTTATTTTTATTGTTTTAGTACTTAAAACTCAATCCAAATATTCTCATATCATTATCAGTCTTTTGGGGAATTTCAAAGAGTGAGAAAAGCTACAGAAAGTATTTTGTGTTATGGAAATCTCTCTTCATTCATTCATCTCTCCTATTGAAAAGTTGGAAACAACGTTAGATCTTACCTCCTCTTTCGACGAGTGATCATAGCTAGATAGTCTTTTATTTTCATTATCATCAGCTTCTTTTGTTGGGATGTCAAACTGCCAAAGTTGTGTATTCAACATTCTCTCAACTTTGTAGTCTCTCCTTTATATGACAGTCTCCGAAAGTTAAAGATGAAAATACTTCAACCATCCAATTTCTCTTCGCGAAATTTCAACAGATTAACAAGCCCAATTTGATTTTTAACCCTATTTAATGCTCAAATTATAGTTCCCTCAAAATTCAACTACGCAAGTCAATACCGCTGAGAAAGACACCATAATGAATTCAATTATGTTCGATTATACCTCCAATCTATGAAGCACGGATACGGATACGGGATACGGAATACGGGTACGATACGATATGGATACGACGATACGACAAATTCTAAAAAAGTAAGATATAGGTACGACCAAGATACGGCTATAATAAAATATATTTAATATTTTTATTATTTTCAACCAGTTTAATACTTATATATTTTGGTAGTTCTTTAATATACAATAACGAAAATTAGTAATTTTTTTTAGTTTCAAGAAAATATATATCGTATCGCTGTAGTATATTCACAAAGTGAAGTGACTAATTAAAGGAATCAAAACTAATATTTACCTAGTATTTTGAAATAATTTTTGCTAAGATAATAATGTAATAACTTTATTTTATACTCTTTTGACATATAATTGTAGATAATACTTAAGAACACTCACATGCCTTTGCAGTAATATGAATTTTTTGTTAATGTATTGTATGATATGTGAATTCAAAAAGAAATATTAAAAGTTCAACTCAAAAATTATATATGTTGTTCGACCACAAAAGTATCCGTGAAGTATCCTAATATTTAATTATTATCAAATACGTAGAAGGTGTATCCGACGAGTATCGTATCTAATACGGGTACGTCAACCTCAACGAAGTATCCGTGCTTCATAACCTCCAATTCAAGCAAAAAATGGGCCCCATTAAATCACAAAAATGTGCATTGTTAGTAAACCATATAGAGCAATAGCTGCATGTAAACTGCAAAAATCAGAACAATTGCAATTGGAGAAAAGCTGTATTAGAACCTTAGCAGCGGAGACAACTGGTTGTGTATCGATCCCCGAGCTTTGCATTGCTTCTTGGGCTTTCTTTGAGGCTTCGGAAATGGCAGGCGAAGCAACTTTCAGCGCCTGTTCTCCACTCTTCTGTAAGATAGGCAATGCCGCATCGATTCCAGGCTTCAAAGCCTCAATCACAGCTCCAATAACACTCTGTGCAACTTCCAAAACTTTTGAACTTACTTCTTGAACTTGATCAATTTTATCCTCTACCTACACAAGTAGCATAGATTATTAATCTAATGAAATGGGTAATGAACTAAAATCAAGTGAATATCCTAGAAAATTTGCAAATTAGAATTTACGTGAGCTATTTACAAAATCAGCACAAATAAGCAATTTCAAGAAATGAATTGAGCATATTACACAAAATGTGGAATATACAAGAATTTAAGTAAATGTGTATCAACTAAAATTGAAGATAAAAATCTTAGAAATATGGAAAGAAAGCGTGGTGAATGACCTGAGTGAGAGATGAGACTATCTGGTCTTTGGGTAGAGTGAGAGCCTTGGCTTCTACCGGTGCAGTGAAGAGGGCAAAGAGAGAGAGTGTGGTTGATGTTGGCAGTGATAGAGTGGTGGGTCTGAATTGAGGTTTGGAGAGAGAAAGGGTTCTGGCTGGTGACGATGGCGTGGGAGAGGGTGCAGGAAGTGGAGGTCGAGCTATGGCTGAAGCTCTGAGGGCCATCCGTTTGGCCTTTCTTCGCCACCACTGTGTGTGTGTTTGTGGTCAGTAGGTTGATGGATGAAGGGGGGGCACAATGTGATGAGAAATAATCGGTTGATGGTGCGTCTCTGGCCCATAATCCGACGCGGTAATTTGGTATCATAGTGAAGCCACATACAACCCAACAAGTGGCCTCTTAGATGGGGCATGGGTCCTGGTGCGAGAAATTCAACTTTTAATCTAACAATTATATTTAATTAAATTCTTAAATTAAATCAATATTATTTTTTTCATTATTTTTGCTCTTTACTTGTATCCAACATGTTGACGACATCATGACCAAAAAAAAAACATGCTGACGACGTGAAGAGATATTCATTTTTGGTATCACTCCTAAATTCATGTGAAATATAAGAATAAAGTTACAATATTAAAAAATTATTTTTTAATATTATATTCGAACCCTAAATATAAATAAGCCAGTTGTAAACCCCACCAATTTTTTAAATTGACAATTACAAAAAAAAATGTATATTATTTGTTATTTTGTTTGTTTCTTGATCTAGTATTAAATGAATTATTATAAAATTGTACGAGCGTTGATTTAACTAATTTGGCAAGACCTTTTTTTTTTTTTTTGTGAAAAAAGGGATGGGGATAAAGGAGAGCGCTCAGAAACCACCGCGATAGGCCTTCACTGGTATGATCATGAGACTTTTAATCACGTCTGTTATTCCTTTCATGAAGAAACTTAACTAGACTAGTATAACAGTCAATAACCAAGCCTCAATTTGAATTCTAAAACTTGAACATCTAATTTCAGGGTGACAAGACTTTAGTTGTGCATGTGCTTCTGTTAAATTCCCGTGTAGTTTGAATTAAGATTGTGCTATGACTTGTGGGAATTCCTATGTAGGAAGAATTGAGGTTCAATCAAGCTCATAGGAGTACTTAGGAATGTCAGTGGACCGAAGCGGAGTCGGGGAGTATAGTCTCCATCCTCGTACCCACTTAAAAAAATTCTGTTCATCCTCGGTCCACCCCTATTAACGATTATAATTTTTATCCACATCCCCCGTCCGTGGGTAAATTTCTAATCCCCGCTCCCCATTCCCGCTTCCTGCATACCCAGCCCATCCCAAGCTCAAGCCTAAGTTCAAACTAACATAATCCAAAATTCTAAATAAATCCAACATAAAAACCCTCTTGAATTAAGGATTGGGACCTTGCAAATTGAGGGGGAGAATTCATTATAAAGCCATTGTATTAAAAAAATTAGCAACCTCAGTAACTAATGATTTTAATAACCTTAGTAATTATTCCATTAAATTTCGAATAAGATATAAGTAAACCATGATTTTAATAAAAACCTTGAATTCTAAGATTGTTAAGTAGCCAAAAAGTGCAGTCAATAAAGTTGCAAAATCTATCCTATCAAAAAAAACCCACAACCTAGGATTATTTCCACGCAATACTTGTAACAACTGAATATATGCATTCCATGTTTGCACTTCATGATAAATTAATATGATGTATATGAATCAGTATAAATTGAACAATTCAAAGCACTTATTTTTCCCCAATACACAACATGAAAATTTTGAAATTGCTAAAAGAAACTAAATATCATGGTGGTCAACAAACACCAAGTAGTTTCCACCCATAAGATTACCAGCACCGAAAAACTTAAAAGGTGAGTGAACTTGTAGATGTGTTTCAAGGGCTCACTATAGTGTCTAGATAGGTCCAAGTTCTGTGTAGATAGGCTCACGATGGTGTGTAGATAGGTCCAAGATCTTACACCTGTGTGTCGAAGATCTGTGAGCAAGTGAGAGATGCAGCGATCAGTCGACTGTGAGAAGCTGCTGAGTGCAGCGATCAGTGAGGAAGCAATCGACTGTGAGGAGCTGCCAAGTGCAGCGATCAACAAGAGCGATGGAGACGGGCGATGGGTGTCTGTGTCATAGTGTGTGTGGGTGTGAGAGAGAGGGAGAGAAAGAGATGGAGGCAGACAGGCAACTGATGATAGAGGAAGAGGAGAGGAGAATAAGTTAGGGTTTTAAGCCTTTTAACAAGGACTATTTATATATAGTGAAAATTAGAAGTAAGTCCCTTTAGATGTACTTATTTGGAGATAAGTCCTGCAATGAAACTTATAAAGGGCTAAGTCCATGTTTAAAATTATATGTAATGACTAAGTCCATTTTTTTTAATCTCAAAAATACCCTTCCTTGAAAGGAAAATATTTTTTTCTCTCTCATATTTATCTATATCTATATATAGATTAAGAGTTTAATTAACATTAAAATTTTTCCTCTCTCTTATCTATCTATATCCATGTGATGCCCTTAAAATCAGGGGTCTCGTTGACCTCCCGTCAACCCGCATAAATACCCGTAATTGTCGCATAACTCGACATCACGTCTATCACATTCCTGTAATCTGTATTACGACCCATGTGTGATCCGTGTTTCCTTTAATTCATTTAATCCCATTGAGGTTGAACATACTCCAATATGTCTCATTTAAAGTCCATTTGAGTCATTGGAACCAAAGAATATATGGCCCAAAAGCATGACAATGCATTCTTAAAATTTTAGATTTTTGAAAAATCTTCTGGAAGGTTTTTCATAGACCTTTCGGAAGGTTTTGGNTGGCCCAAAAGCATGACAATGCATTCTTAAAATTTTAGATTTTTGAAAAATCTTCTGAAAGGTTTTTCATAGACCTTTCGGAAGATTTTGCTCACTGAAAAAGTTCTTCCAGAAGGTTTTGTCTACTGGAATTCAGTTTACACTAACCTTCCGAAAGGTTTTGCCTGCTGAACCAAAAGTCTGCATTAACCTTCCGGAAGGTTTTGCCCAGAATTTTATGCCTCTTCAGTTTTTCATTTCCAATCCGCTCAAAACCTTTCCAAAACCACTCCAACACATGTATAATAACATTTTTTTCTACATTATACATGGTTCATACAAGTCTATTACCACCCGTTCCATATAAGTTACATGCCAAAATGGAAATTAAACCAAAAGTTTTACATAAAACTTTGTTCAAGAGCCACAATCCGGCTCTTCTTCACCTTAGAGGCCCCGAATGTGTGTCATCCACCAGAATATGTCCCGTACCTGAAATGTTTCTCATATAGGGTGAGCCACGCTCAGTAAAAAGTTTCCTACAGAGGCTACTCTCCTCCTAGATGCATATGCAATGGCTTTATGCAACAATACACAACCAATATCTATTCCAATACAAAAATATGCAATTTATGTTGGAATCACCCATGTCATGCCATGAATGAAATGAGATTTACTTACACACCCCAACCCGAGCCTTCATCGCCCCTCACCACACTATGCAATGCAAGTGTAAAACCTTTTATCATTGATGAAAAACATCCAATGATCATTTTGAAATACAATTCATATGCTTTGAAAACCCTTCCATTGTTGGATGTTTCCCATTCAATGAACATTTTATGCAACAAAATCATGTGTCTTTGTTGGGTATCGGATTTCGGAATCACACCGCTGGCTCCGTATGCCATTACACCTTTCCGGAATTTCACCTCAGGGAAGTGTCNCATTTTATGCAACAAAATCATGTGTCTTTGTTGGGTATCGGATTTCGGAATCACACCGCTGGCTCCGTATGCCATTACACCTTTCCGGAATTTCACCTCAGGAAAGTGTCTGAACCAAGTGGTCGGGTTTTTCACCCGAGGGAGTGTCTAGCCCTACTTGCTATACCCGACACAAGTTTTTCTCATGCAACATGCGACTCCAAGGGATCTTCGATCCAACATCTCCGAGTCTACATGTTAATTACCAAGAGTGGTATTAATTACTTCGTGCATACACACCCACATTCATGCCTAAGCCCATGAATGTGATGCAACCTCATGCCCAAAATGTAATGAATGTCATATGAACAATATTAATCATATTCCATGGAATTTCATGTCATATGCACATAACTTCCATAATTCATCATTATGCTCAATATACCAATAAGCATATGTTCACATATCACAACAACTCAAGCATGTTATTTGCATCAAAATAACAACATTCACTTATCTAAGGCATTTAATCAAATACCTTCAAGGTAAGGATATCATGTCATCACATAATATTGTCCACATACACAAAATATCATCAAGTACCAAGAAAATGGTTCACATAACTCCCACAAATCATATTTAAGCTAGAGTTTAATTTAAGTCCTTCCTCGACTCATTTCCCATTTCCATAACCATATAACCAAGTAGGAGAACCCCCTACCTCTTGAAGCTTGAAATAGAAGATAGAAGCTTCCAAAGCCCCAAAAGCCTTGATTTCACAAATCTCCCCCTTTGGACCTTCGGTGAAAATCTTCGTTTTTGGTACGTACACGTAGCCCTCGTCGCGTAGACCAACTTTAATTCTTAGATCGATGGATTCCGGCCGGTGGAACTTCGAGAATCGAAGGAGAAAAGCTTGAGATTTTTGTTTTCCCTATTTTCTCTCTTAACCGTGTGAACCAGCCAGCTATGGGGTGTAAAAATATCTGATTTTTCAGATATTAACCCCCTTTTATACTTTTAATCCCGCGGTCCACATCCCCCTGCTCGTTTATTATTTTTGAGTCCGTTTTTAGACCTGAAACGATTCATTTTAATCCAGTTTAAGTCCAAATTAATTTTATTGGAACTTTAACTCAATTATAAGGAAAATTTAAAATTTTCATTTTTGGGGACCTTTAAAAGTCATTCGTCACCCAAATCGTCTCGAAATACGTGTAAATTCTAACTATCTCAGAATTTGATGAAAATTGACAGGGGTAAAGTCCGTTACTCCATCTGAGCTCTATAAAAATATGCATTTTAAACCTGCTTAATAGTGACAAATCATCATTTTGCCCTTTGTCGGAAAAAGTTTAAATTTTTTCCTGGGTTTTACAATCCATATATAGGTTATATATATAGTAACATTAAAAAAAATAGTAATATTCAAATATAAAAAAAAAAATTACTATGAATTTGA